AAACTTCAATTTTTTAGGTTGCCATATGCTCTTCTACTTAGGATCTAACACTACTAAAAGCTGTCTTCAATTAGAAGCTCCCCATGACGCTAGATTCAACTGTTCAAAATTATCTAGTAGCCACCAAACACTCATTGCAATATCTGACAAGCTCATTGTGCATTTAGATTTTCTAATTTTAGTAGAAATAAAAATTAAGAAGTCGATTGTGAGACCTGCCCTATTGCACGTGTATTCAGCTTGCCAATATTAAACAGTTACCATTACTACTATTAAATTTTTAACTATCACAAGTTTTTTGGTAAGTTCATGGTAAGCCAGTTTTTTAAATTACTTAAAATGGTGGTCTGCAGATACATCAGTTTTACTTAGTCTCTCCAGATAGAGTTGCCAAATTTAGCTAATAAAAATATAAGCTGGCCAGTCAATTTGAATTTCAGATAAACAAATAATTTTTTAGTATCAGTGTGTTCTAAATATTGCATGTGACATACTTATAATTAAAAATATTCATCTTTTGGGACTTCCCTGGTGGCACAGTGGTTAAGAATCTGCCGGCCAATGCAGGGGACACGGGTTCGAGCCCTGGTCAGGGAACTAGATCCCACATGCATCCTGCAACTAAAGATCTCACATGCTGCAACTTAGACCTGGTGCAGCCTAAATAAAAAAAAAATTAAAAAAAAATTCATCTTTTATCTAGAAATACTACTTCTCGAAGTTAAAATTTTAAGGAACACTGATCCAGGTTATTTTGGGGAGAGGAGAGACTAGAAGCAGGAAATCCACTTAGGTGGATTCTACTTTTTCAGAAATCCAGGGGAGAAATTACAAGGACTTGACATAGGTCAATGGAACTGAAAAGAAAATGATTGCCACAAATACTGTTGTGACAGAATAATCAACAAGGCCTACCTTGTAATTGTATATGGAATGAAAGGAAGCTGTGATGTCAAAGAAGTCTTTTGGATGATATCAATGACAGAGAGACGCTAACTGGAAGTTCAGATTTGTTCAGTTGAAGTTCAGTTGTTGGATTGCTTGGTGGGAAAACCAGGTAAAAATGCTTATTAAGCATATGGAATTACAGGACATCTGCGCAAAAGAGAGGATAGGACCTAGACCTAAATTTGTACATCAGCAACAAGAGACTTGTGGTTGCAGGAATGATAGCACAAAAACTAAAACAGGTAAGAAAAAGGACACAAAGAACACCTCAAGAAATGCCTGTAACAGTCACAAGTAAATCAATGACGTTAGAACACTTCTTCACACCCTACACAAAAATAAACTTAAAATGGCTTAAAGACTTAAATATATTTAATAAGACATGACACCATAAAACTCCTAGAAGAGAACATAAGCAAAACATTCTCTGATGTAAATTGTAGCACCATTTTCTTATGTCAGTCTCCCAAGGCAATAGAAATACAAGCAAAAATAAACAAATGGGACCTAATCAAACTTATAAACTTTTGCACAGAAAAGGAAACCATAAACAAAATGAACAACCTACGGAATGGTAGAAAATATTTGCAAACAATGCGACCAACAAGGGCTTAATCTGCAAAATATACAAACAGCTCATACAACTCAACAACAAAAAAGAACCCAATCAAAAATGGG